GAGGAAGGGAGAGAGAGAAAGGGGAGGGAGATAGAGACAGACAGAGAGAAACGACACAGAGAGAGAGAGAGGGAAGGGGGCGAAATAGAGACAGATCTTTCTTTTTTTTTTCTTCTCTCCCCCCACCCCCTTTTAAACTGGCGCGTGATAGAGCTCTCGGCAATCCGCAGGACAGTGCCCTGGTGAATTGATACCAACCGGCCATCCTTAGCATGCCATACGCCCTCTCCCGCCACGCCCCAGAGTAACTCCGCCACGATCACGATGACATCCGTGACGTCCGCCACCAACGCCCATAAGAAAATTAAGCGGATCGAAGGCATCGGAGGACACACACCGCCTCATTCCTGTTGCGTGTATGGAAAGTCCACCAAAAAGAGCGAAACTGTACCCAGCTCTCCCGACTGTTCCAACATCTGCCACCCGAGTTGTACGGATCCCTCGCAAGCATTTAAGGGAGCTGCAAGGGATCACTCAGAGTGTGATGGTTCGACGCACACCAAGCCTTTTTCTCTCTTGGAGACCAATTCATAAACAAGGGACAGAGAACTATATAAAAAGCTAGCTGCCCTGGTATCTACTGGAGGATTCTGGATGGCAGCCTCTCTTTGACTGATCTTCCTGCTATTATCCTTTCTACTAAGGAGCTTTATGGCAGACTGCTCTACACCAGTAAATCAAAAGCTGCAACTGCAACGCCTGGCTGGATCCCCACTGAGTTTTCCGCACAAACTCGGCAAGATCTAGCATTTCAGGATTGGTGGGATCATCGAGAAGAAGAATCCTACTCGAACACAGTTGCCTTCACTTCCCAGCAGTACAGAGATTTGCTCGTGGTTAAACAGGACGAAGCTTGGACACGGCATCCCTTAGCTTGACTGTATAATCGTGGGTAAGGTTGGAAATGGATCCTGAAGAACTGTATAGTATTTCCCGAGGTAGGCGGATTGGGACAGATGTAGTCTTCATGTTGTTGAGCCATAAGTGATTTTAGTTGACGATGAAAGCATTAGAAACCGTTGGCTTGAGGATGGTAAGATGGCATCGAATTCTCTGCAGTCATAATTTTGCTCCAAAGTTGTGACTCAAACTGACCCCATTTTGATGTAAAATTGGTTGCCTCTCCAAGAGAAGAGAAGAAGAAAAAAAGAGTACACATTAAATGGGAACAAACATGTAGACAGTAAATCTAATGGCTGCTACACTGCCCTCAAAACAACTTCAGAATATTTTCAACGTATCATGATGAGTATTGCGTTGGAATGTGAATTTAACCTTTTAGAAAAGTCCGGTTATAACGTCCGAAAAATATTGATAAAACGCCTGCTTTGAACAAAGAGCGAGCGAGAAAGTAATTTCACAAGTTCAGTTAGTGAAATTTTAATCCAAGACGACGAATTAGTCATATAAACAGTATTGAGTACTAACTTGTAGGCCTGTAATTCTTTCTATGTGTAAACACCAGGTGTTTGTGTAAGTTACAGATACATGTCACCGAAAGAAATATCAGGCCATCCTGGTCTCTGACCAAATATCCGATAAAGAATACGGTTCTGGTAACCTTTTTGTACCCATAGAATTCCGCAACTTTTCGTTACATTTGTTTATCACCGCCGAATCGAGATGCATAATTCACCGACATTTTTCTTTTCTCACAGCTGATTCTTGTTTCTGCCCACCAGTGAGATGCGCATGCGCAGTACTATGGAATGTTTTGTGTTTTAGGTAGAGATAAATATCACCAAAACTAACATCGGGCCAACCATTGGGGCTTTCAGACCAGTCATCAGAGAGAAAAAGGATCTGGTAAGGATTCATTTACCTTTAGAATACTTAGGTTTTTCATCATGACGTTTTTTAGCAACTAAATCGAGAGATTTGTAGTAGGTTGACATCGTTATCACAACTGTTAATCTTTTGCACACCAGTGTTGTGCGCGTGCGCGAAAAAGCGTTGTGTTTTTGTTTTGATGACCGGCCCTATAGTGAGTTTTGCAACAAGTTCAGCCAATTGCTCTGTCTGTGATGTAGAAGTAACTTCATTAATTGAACGAGCTGTTGGAAGAGATGACATCAACTCAACAACAAATTTAGCAAGTTCATCAATGGTGAGCTTTCCTTTGACAGTGAATAAACCCTGTTGGATGTTAGAGGGAAGGTTCTCGAAAAATAGTTGTAGAAATATCGTCTTGTCAAAAGTGTCACGCTTGCCACCAAGGAGCTTTTTCATTCGTTGCAACAAATCTTAAAGCTTCGCATTGCCTAGTTCTTCCTTACTGATCAATTCTTGAAGCCTTGTGGTAATTGATGATTCAAGACATGACAGAAATGCTGTCTTCCGCACTTCATATGGTTCTTCTGACAGTGCAGCGGTTGAGATGACATCAGAAACTTGTGCTAAAACATCTGGAGTAAGGAGAGATGTTGGCTGACTAAAGATTACACTTTAGCTAATGCAGTGCGCTTTGAAACAGTACTCAAGGATAGTGAACTACATGGAGGGATAATGGCTGCAGAACGTCGGTGGTCTGAACGCGGTGACAGATGTTTGGTGTTGCTGGAGGTGGCAACGCCGCCACTGGTCTTATCTTCGGGTATCTTGAATCACAAATAGCACAAACACTAATGAAAATCACTAAAATGTGACAATAAACAGATCACCGGGCGTTACACAACTCTGGGTTTACCAATTTGTTGTCGGTGAAGTTATTGTTTACTATAGAGACGTGCCTAAACCGTCTCTCTTGGTTGGCGGCTAAGTCCCATAAAGCCCAGGATGGTGTCTCTTGGCCAAACAGTATTTAATAAGTTTAGGCCGAGCTGATTTCTTAGTAGCCAAACTGTATGTGCAGCCGTATTGAGTCCGTTAAGACTTCATCGGCGAGAGACAAGACTAGAAGAGGATGATTGTTTAATTGCTCGAAAATGAGCAAATTAAAGACTTGTGGTACCTGTCTGCACACGTCACCACTGATTTACAACAGTTCCCAAGTTGCATACAAATAAATGCATATTCCCTTGTCTATCAAACTATATAGGCCTACATGTTAGAGTAATTTCTCTTATAGTATCGCACTATCTGAGACTTGCTTACAGTGACTGACTACTTACAGTTATTTTGGCAACACAACTTATGTAAATAAACAAACATTTGGCATTTAAACATAATAAAGCAATAAACATTATAAAGTATATATATGAATATTATTTATGACGAAAAAAAAAATGAAAATAAAGCAAGTTCCTGATTAGGCATGTTTCAGGGGAGACTATAATATAATTAAACCCTTTCCATTTCATACCAGCGCAAGGATCATGACACTAGCAGTGGACATGAATTACAAGCAACCTACGACTGCGGATCACAATGGCACGTAAGATTTGCCGCCAACAAGCTCCAGGCAATGGTTGTATCCCGCTCTCCAGCTGCATCAAATGCCATGAAGGACAAAATCTTAATGAACAACACCCTTCAGGGACTTTATTTCAATCCTCGAGGACTTTATCTCAACCTCGATGTGGACATAGACAATGAGCTCAGATTTAACAGACACGTCAGCAGAATCTGCAAAACAGCTTCTCTGAAGGTGACAGCTCTCCGACGTATATCTCACCTCCTGAATCCTCAAGGAATTCTCGCGCTGTAAAAGTCCCAAGTCAGACCACATCTAGAATACGCCTCGTTGGCCTGGTCTTCTACTGCACCCACCAGCCTCAGCAGGCTGGATAAAATAGAAAAACGGGCTCTCAGGCTTATCCAGGAAGCTTTCAACCCTTGTCACATCGACTCGCTGGAACATCGTCGCGACGTCGGGGCTCTAACGGCGCTCCACAAGGCTCAGGTGCAGCAGGTGCCTCATCTATCCATCCTCCGTCTCCCACCGCACGGCCGAGAGGGAAATACGAGGACGGTACACTCCATTCGGCTTCTGGTGGAAGTTCCGAGGTCGCGGTCTAGCCAGCATCAGCGAACCTTCTCAGCCAGAGCAGCACGACTGTGGAATGAATTCACATCCACCACCGATGTCCCGAAATGACCACGCAGCAAGTGAAGACAGCAGGATGACGCTCGAGCAAACCGGTACAGCGATGGCGCTCAAACAAACCATCACCTCTGAATCTCCTCAACTCATGGCGACACTTAAGGCAACACTACATAACCTTATTTTGTGTTAATTCTATTTTGTTATCTGTTTAATTTTAATAAGTCAATCTGGTTATTGTTAGGTTTTCATATAAGCTCCTTAGATAGGTAACTTTTAACCCGCAAAAAGAAACCTGTATTTCTAAATAAACTGGTTTCAACCTATACATATCTGTATGGTATTTATAAATAAACATGTTAAAAGGGAGAGAGAGAGAGAGAGACAGCGGGGGAAAGAGAGAGGGAGAGAAAGAGAATGAGGAAGAGAGAGAGAAATAGGAGGGGGAGAGAGAGAGAGAGAGGAGAGAAAGAGAGCTGATCAAAGTAATTCATTCATAGGGAAAACGATTATTACAAACTATTAATTACTGTGTTCACGGAATACGCATCAGCTGTGAATGCGTCGTTGATAATGATTGATTTAAATCAAAGAGCGAATTAATTAATCTCGCACCTGGTGAACATGTTTGGACATTTCGTTTGCATATATTAATATCCGATGCAGTTGAGGACTAATGTATGCGGCCAAAAAATAACTGATTATATTTCTTGGATGTTAATGTCGATGCAAGTTTTAACAAAATAAACATGAATTTATCAGATAATTTATGTACAGGCAGAAAACATTTATCTATATTTAATTTTCTAGATTAACTGAAAGCACTGTTGTGCAGCTTGGTCTGTTGTGAGCTTTCTCTTGGATTGTTGATATGAGAAAATAATGATAAAGGTGCATGTGAAAAGAGCAAGTGTTTGCCTCTCCTCTCTCCTTTCCTCGCGTCTTCATTCCGTTTGTCTTATGAACATTAACATTATTGCAGCTCTGATTATCAGTGGCATGAATACAAACAAGGATGTGAGTGGGCACCGTTCAAAATTTTATTCGTTTCGCTTCCAGCTTCCATTTGCGATGAACCTTTCCCCGCTCCACTCACTCCCGGAGGCAGAAGCGATGGTCGAAGGCCCGGTGGTCGGCCGAGCTGTTGTAGAGTGGGAGCGAGAGGTTCCTGGCTGCCTCCACACTCCCGAAGAGGTTGAACCCGAGGAGGAGTATGGAGGCAGCGCAGGCTTTCTCAATCCTGGCAAACTCCTCGTCGGTTATGGTCGTCCGCCATTTCTGCTGCTGGCTCTTCGTGTCTCGCTTGAGGCTGTAGGTTTTCGTGTCTCTTGTCGTTTTCGTTTGTTTATCCAGGTAGCTGTAAGATGTACAAGAGCGAGTGAAGGGTGGATGTTTACCCTTACCTATATCATCAGTTACATAAATACGAAAAAGAAATAAAGAACGGCAATCCTTTATATCTTTCAAGTCACTCGCAGGAAGAAGGATAAAAACTCACGTAGCAGTAGGTTGCGGAAGCTTCGAGTAGCCGAGGAAAGACAATATTACTTCAGCCATCAACCGCGGATCAAGACAAAGGTCCTCGTAACGTACAGTCAGAAACCTGGGAAGAAACAATTCGTTCATGATTATTAGTGCGCAAGAGCTTGTGCGTAATGCTGTGGCCGTGTGTGTGTGTGTGTGCTGAATGATGATGCAAAAACACCAACTGCGCGGGCACAGATCTGGCAGCTAATGACTGATGATTTAGTGGCCTTGATAATGATTACCTTGATTTTAAAAACGGTTATCATTTTTCGTTATTTTCATTTTTTTTTTTTTTTTTTTTTTTTTTTTTTTTGTAAGCGCAAAGATATAAAGTAAGACAGGAGGCAGAAAATAAAAATGGAAATAGTTGATGTAAGGATGATGAGAATAATAATGGTCATAATAAGACTGTAATTGATATCAATCATGATAATGATAGTGTTACATCAATAATATTTTTGTATAACAGATACGCTTAATTAATGTTAATTATTGGGCAAATTCCACTCATCTCGCCTGGCCATAAGTTCACCATATTAATTATTCCATAATCTTTCATAGCCACCCTGTCATTACTGGCGTTATTCGCACTTTCCATGGCGATGCAGGTGCACCTGTCAACCGCCTGGGAGTTGAGCTCAATGTCCTTGGTTGGGTAGCAAGATAGCTCGAAAAGTTATCAACAGATTTTTATGAAAATTTTACTAGAGACGTGTCTTGGCCCAACTTACATACCATTAAATATTGGTGATAATCCGGATCATGATCCAGATTAGATTTTTTTAAAATTATTATTATTGGCATTGCGAGATCGGGACAACTTTGGGCGCTTGAATTATCAAAATTATCCTAGCCTTGGCGTAGGAGATCTCGGAGTGTTTCTAGTTCATTAATGTATTTGATCTATTTATTTACTTATATATCTGTAATAATATATTCGCTTTTTACTTATTCATTCAACTGATTAATGTATTTAATTAGTTAAAGCAACTGAGGGTCATACTTGCCGGGTCGCTGCCTCCGAAGGCGGGCGCCGTCCCGCAGATCGGACAGCAGATTCTGACAGCTCGTGGCCTCCGAGATGGGCGCCCAGTCGGCCTTCCAGTTCGAGATGACTGACCCTCGGGGATCCCTCACGAGGTGGATGATTCGGAGGTCGACCTCGGGGTCATCCAGTAGCGAGGTCAGCCAGGAGACTCGGGCCCGGATGGTCTTCACCACCCGGAATTTCTCCTTGCGACATGTCTCGTCCAGGAGGCTATTGAAGCAGGCTTCCTTGGTGGCGCAGCGCCGTGTGTACGGGTGGTACACGGTGTACTTCCCCCGCGTCCTCACGGCCTTCCTGATGGCTCCGGTGATGTTGCAGGTGAGCAGGCCCCGGAGGCCGTCCCTGGCGGTGGCCGGCGAGAGCATGTGCCAGTGCTCGATGTTGTGGAGAGGCTCGAAGAAGTAGAAGACTCCGGGGAGCGAGCTCAGCAGGCCGCCCAGGAAGCTCGACCCACTCCTGGCCATCGAACTCATCAGAACCACATTGGGCGTGCCTGTCGCAGGGGCGCCGTCGAGGGCGGCCTCGCTTGAGGAGGACCCATTCTGCCTTAGGGAAAACCTGCACTGGCAAAGGGTGTCGTTGGCCCGGGGCTCGGGGGCCGCGCGAGGCCACTCCACGCCCGGCGAAGGAGGGGGAGACGGAGAGCCTGCGGGGAGAGGGACGGAGGGACATGTGAATATGCGGACCGGTGCGAGTGGCCGCGGGCGTTGCGACACGTGGAATAGACACGAAAGGAAATGAATATCTTCAGATATTGTGTATGTGTGTGTGCGTGTGTGTGTGTCTAAATATATATATATATATATATATATATATATATATATATATATATATATATACATACATATATATATATATATATATATATATATATATATATATATATTGTGTACAAACACACACACACACATGTATATTTATATATATATGTATATATGCATAT